CAGAGGCATGCAAGGTTGGCATTTGACAAATTATTAGTTCACTAATTAATAAGACTACCATGGTTGGGATGACGAATGGTCACAAGGGGGCGGTCCAGGGGCATTCTCTCCAGCAGAGACCGACAAGGAAGACTCAGAGGTATCTGAAGCTAAGAAACATATCCATATATCAGTTAAGAGAATGCTGACAGCGGAGAAAAATCGTCACCCCCTTATTCCACTCACCACGCGAAACACTGTCATGATTCGTACGATGCTTCCGACCTGATAAGTGCATAGATAGTGCCTTCTCTGAAGGACACTCGATGCGACATAGCTAGGAGGAATAAGAAAATGTAACACCATGGTAGTAAAAAGATAAAGAATCAAAAATATAGTGAAAACTAGATTTATGTATGCTTAGCATGAATACCTGCACTGAGAGACAAGAGAATCGGTCGGATAATTGAAAAAAAAATTACTCACAAATAAAAAATAATCTCGAAATCTGGGGAAAACTGCCACAGCCACGAAATGATAGGTCGCCAAGGGCAGAAGTGATAACATAACAGAATCCATACGAAAAAGCATTCGGGCGCGACAATCTCCGTAACATAACTGCCCAATACATAATAATCAAAAAATTTCCAAAAACCCGAAAGCAGATATATATTATGAATTTACCAAAACAAGATACGTAATAATGAATTATTTATTGGTCGCCAATATTTTAGCCGTACACAAATTGAAATAAGAGGAGAGCGGAAATGTAAATCGAAGAAATCCCGGTTTGGGCTAGGAAATGACTGAAAAACGGCAAAGGATTAGAACGTATATACAAGCATGTATAAGGAGGTAGTGAAGCTGATATTTATTCGACTCACCTCACAGACAAACGAACCGGACAAACCCAGCTCCCGCTTCTTTTCTGATGTAAACTGGGACCGTAACCAACTCATATGTTTTTCTTCCTGACTCGGCTAAGAAAAAAATTCGAATAAAGGAATATATATATATATATGAAAAATAGCGATGCCGATCTTAGGTGAAATTTTAGAGACAATAATTAGCTCACTTCATCTAGCGTAGCAGCATTCTGGCGATCAGTCTCTGCGAGAAATCGCTCGGGGTGCTTAAGTCTAGCTTTCTCTAGAGCATTTTGCATATGCTTGACTCCACGAAGGTGAATGGCAAAAGTTCGCTCAGATTGAAATGGTTGATCACAAGTTCGACAATACGACCAATCATCAATATCATCTTCGTCACTTGTGGCAGCATCAAGAGCAGATTCCGCAGAGGTATCAGATGAATCTGAGGAATAGCGAAAAAAGAAGACTTACCAAAAATACTCACAGAAGAAAATGGCATAGATCCGTTGGATTTGGACCAATTAGCATACATTCTGTTCCAATCTATGCCCAAGTTTTGGCTGCACTCAGTGAAAATCCCATGCCATTGAGGGTTTGTTTGTGCAATCCAGTTGATGTAATTATTCCAAGATGCCCAATCCCATTCTCCATCTCTTCCATAACGAAGGAAATATTCTTGCATAACGCTCTGCGGGTCTGCGCAAGGATCTTTTATAGGATCTACAAAGGAATCAGGTTGCGAATTCTTTGTTGCATCATCGTTCTCTAGAGGTCCGTCAGCAATACGCCTTGATTTTTTTTTTAATTTTTTTCTTTGGGCCTAACTAT